ATATATATATATATATAATCTTTTGCACTTGTTCAGCTGTGTTTTCAGCAGTGTTGCTGTTGTGATACAACTGTGCTTCCTTTGTTGATGTTTTAAAGGTGTGAGTGATTGACAGGTGCTGCCCTGTGCCGGGAGCCATGTTGGGTCAAACCATCTTCAAGTTCAAGTCGTTTGTCATTCGCATCACATGTGGTACATGAGGTGGAACAACATTATGTCAGGGTCCCAGTTACACCCAAAAATAGGAAAAATATAAAGTACAAACAGAAACAGTAAATAAGGATCTAAGATATACGATAAACGAAAGCCAAACAAAAAGATCTAAGATATACTGTACGTTGAACTATCTTAGTGTGGGGGTAAGTATTTTTACATTTTAGAAAAATGAAACTGAATAAAATTTGGTTTATCATATTTATTGATTGAAATATTTGATATATGTTTTAAATATTTATACATGCATGCTATATTTTAATAAACTTAGACATTTTTCAAGTACCCCCAGTGGTACTCATACCCCCCTCTGAGAACTGGAGGACTAGCTGTTGATTTGAGATAACCTTGGCACCCTCTCAGTTCCAATTTTTATCGGAAGCTTTGTTGTTTTAATATCGATTTTACTTTCATGAGAATGTTTTATTCATGTTTTATTTAGTCTCAATTTTTATCTTCATCTGTTGGTTTGGACTGTTAACATGCAAAAACATGATCAAACTCTTGGTAATCGTCTGGATGTGCAGCAAAACTGCTGGCACAGCCCTACAGAACCTCACTGACCTACACAAGGCGAGGTCAGTGAACAAGGCCAGGCTTATTCTGGCAGATCCTGATCATCCACTCCATGGTGAGTTCAGGTTGCTTCCTTCTGGACGCAGGTCTCTGCAGCCCAGGTGTAGAACAGACTGAAAAACTCATTCATCCCTGTAGTGATCAGACTTCTCAACGAACATTGACAACTTCTGTATTATTATAATGTCTTAATGTCTTGTGTAGTATGGATGTTTTTATATTTACTGACTGTGAAACTAATTGCCCCTCTGGGATAATAAAGATACTTGAACTTGAACAGTTCATGACAGTCTAAAACAGTCTTCACTGTGGCACTCATGCTCCTGCACTTTTCAGTTCATGGTAGACTTTCAGACAAATGAATACCGATTAAGTTAAAAAGTGATGTCAAACAAATCGTTTTCATGCTGCCAACGAGCTCTGGTTTTGTTTTCAATTCTGTAATAAGCATACCCTAAATATTTAAATCTGCTGAGCAACAGCTAGCATCACATTGAAGACAAACACATCTTGTTTGGATCTGGTCTTTACAGCAATATTTACATTCACAGGAAAATCAGTTCCACACATGCCCTAATAAACATGTCCGTGCCGCAACTGGGGTCTGACTGAGCTCTTTGTTAGGTAATAAGGTGTGTTTGTGTTTGTAAAGGAGTTGGAGCTTTAGTGGCATTTGATAAATAGTTGCACAGGCTGGTTGTTTCAAGGGAACACTTCTGCTAAATGTGTGTGTGTGGGAGTTCAAGGCCTGGTCTGTTCATCTCGGGGACAGAAAACAGCTTGGAGGTGTAAACAGAACAACCTGTGTGTTTAAAGAGTTAAATACTGAATTGCATTGAATTATTAGAGTATAATTGACAACATGTTAGAATCATAAGTAGATGCTTGTTGAGTTGTGCATTTCTTACTTCTGTTGCTCTATCACCTTGGCTTTTTATCTTTTAAATGGAAGCAGATCACACAAAGATCTGCATCGTTTAGAAGTGAAATGCCTCTTGTTTTGCTTGTGATCTACAGGTTGGACACGAACAAGAAATGCTAATTTATTTGCCCCTTTTTTAATATTGAAGATTGTAATTCCAGTGGATTTTCAGTCTTTCTGGCTCACTCCAGTTTTGTCTGCGGTCCTCCTCACCTCTCCTGCTCTGAGTCTGCTCTTTTTAACAAGCAGTCCTTCTGGTTGTGCTGTAGGTCGGCGCTGAAAGGGGTCAGCAGAGCAGCGCTGATCGATACGAACGCACAAACGCCCAGAATCCTGGAAACAAGCTCTGTGTTCTCGGCTGTCAGAAATCTCTGCTGCCGGTTTGGTGCTCCCTGTGGTTTCATTACTTTCATTAAACGTTCATCTTTTAATGATTACAACGTTTTGATTAAATACACATTTTTTTAGTTCTATTAGTCAAACAATAGCTGCACATTCACCTCAGGATGAAGACATAACTTTTTCTTCTACTAACTAATTAACCCCATCAACTTTTTTGTATCATGTCTAGCTAGGCCTGTCGCGATAAACAATAAATCAATTAATTGGATGATAAATGAAAATGATCAACCTCATTTACATTTATCGGCTTTATCGTTTCTTTGTGTGTTTCTATTTCTACTGGATGAAAAAAGGCTTGACTGACCCTTCCCTTTCTCTTTTCTCTTTAAAATCTATTTTAACCGTCCAAAATCGTGTTTTTGGATCATTAAAAGCAGCTAAGCTGAGAAGCTAAGCTACAATCTAAGCTAACAGGCCGACCTTCTTGTTGAAGCTCAAAAATTCACAGTTGAAACCCATGTCTTCGTGTAAAAAGTTGTTTTTCTCTGCAAAAAGAAGCTGAGAACTTGTTTACTGATTTTGAAAAATGCTCAAACCACACCGAGTGTACGCCATTTTCAGAACCGAAGAAACAAAAGAGAGACAACCCATGTCACATCAAGGGGCCTCCCTCCCATTTTTCTTAGAGACATGCTGTTTGCTCCCTCACTATCCATCCTTTGTTTCAAACAGTCTTATATTGCCATCCGGTGGTCAAAAAAGGTACTACACTCAAAACAAATTAAACATTTCTTCTTAAATTTGACAATAATGACTAATTATTGTCAAATTTCAAACAATATTATTTATCGCAATAATTTCTGAGAAAATTAATCGCCCATCAAAATTTGTTATCGTGACAGGCCTAGGCTTGTCAATGAATAATAATAATAATGTCATCACAATGTCAGCACTGTATGTTTCCATACAATGGCGAAATTAGTCTCTGCATTTAACCCATCCACCACCAGGTGGTGCAGTGGGCAGCTATTGAAAGCTGCCCGGGGGGCATTTTGGGGATGAGGTGTGCTGCCCAGAGACACCATGTGATATGCAGTGACTGGGGATCGAACCTGGGACTTACGGGTCCCAAGCCGGCTGCCCTGCCTCTACACCATCTCGGCCCCCATGAAGCACCCTTTTAAACAGAGCTGACTTTTTTTTGCTCTGTGTGCAACCTGTTTTAGATATACAGTATTTTAATTCACCTTTAGTCATAATTTAATAGAAAAATCCTCGGCCTCGATGCATCGTGTTGATGTCTGTCAAACTTGATAAACGTCTCACTGCTCAACCTTTTGCCATCTCCTTCAGCTGCAGCCTTTCAAAGGACAAAAAACACTTTAAATTCAAAATCCTGCCCATGAAAAAGAGCATATGTCAAATTTATGTTTATTCATTAAAATGAAAGCTATAAAAAACATTATTTTTTAAGAAGATTAAGTTGGAGGAAGAATTTTATGTTTCCAGTCTTTTAAATTAAATACGTTTTCATTTTTAAGACCATTAATATGTTAGTTTTTTGTTTGCAATATTCATTTTGTAACAGAATAAAAAAAATGTGTTCACGATTAAGGAATATATTGTAAGCAATATAAGCAACAAAAAATAATTGTATCTGTGCCTCTTTTGTAAATAGGTTTGCATTTCTTTTGTGTTTTTGCTGTTTTTGGGAGAGAAAAAAATCATTAAGTTTTTTTTTATTGCTTTCCTCTCAAAAGCTTTTCAAAGTGGAATTTAGTTAATTTTTTTAATGGTTTGGAGGTTATCGTGTAAAAGAGGATGCCATATATTTATAAATCTTGAAAAACTTGTGCTTTTCTATGTTAAACTGTATGCACGCCTCTGTTTTATGCTCACAGATTGTGTTGTTGGCGATCTGAAAAGTTTTATATTAAGATGTGGAACTGTCTAACAATCTGTCAGAATGTGTGGGTAGACAAGTGTTTCATGAAACACTAACTGTGCTGTATCTCTGTCCTGCAGCATGTGGAAAGGCCTGAATGTAAACTGCACAGACAGCTCAGGATACACACCGTTACACCATGCTGCCCTGAATGGACACAGGTACAACTGCAAACTACGCTCCGTCTCTATTTTCTGGCATGTTTGTCAATTTTATTTATACATATAACAAATAAAATGACCAGATTGTCTTTTTGAGTGAATGTGTCTAAAAACACCATTTAAACATTTCTTACAAAGTTTTCTGTTATGTGTGCACACAAAAGTAAGAAGCACTTTGAAACACTTTATTGAACTGGACTGTTGGTCTGTAAAAATGTTTCTTTCTGTCATGCCATTCACTTTTCTACAGGTATTTCCTCTGTTTAGCTGGTGCAACCTTACTTTTCCCCCCGGCTCTTCCCTCTTCAGGGGTCTCCACAGCGAGCCATCCTCCTTCATCTCACTCTGTCCTGCATCCTCTGTCCTCACTCCATCTACTTCCATGTCCTCTCTAACTGCATCCATAGATCTCCTCTTTGTCTTTTTCCTGGCAGCTGTATTTCTAACATCCTTCTACCAATATACCCACTGTCCCTCCTCTGGACATGTCCAATCTCAGTCTGGCCTCTCTAACTTTATCTTCCAGTTATTCAACTTGTGCTGTACCTCTGATGATCTCATTCCAAATCTTATCCATCCTTATCACTCCTAAGGAGTGATAAGGATGCAACTTCCAGTTCTTTCTCGTGTCTTTTTGTCCACACCACTGTCTCCAGCCAAAACAACATAACTGGTCCCACCACTGTCTTGTAAACGTTTCGTTTGACATTTGCTGACACCTTTTTGTTACAAATCCCTCCTTCTCCATCCTGTCTGGACTCTTTTTTTCACCTCTTCACCACACACCCAATTTTCCTGGACAGTGGACCCCAAGTACTTGAAGTCCTGCACCTTTGTGACCTGCTCCTTGAAGCCTCACTGTTCCACCTGCCTCCCTCTCAATCACACACATTTATTCTGTCTTACTACGACTGACTCATTTCTCTTCTTTCAAGTGTGTACCTCCACCTCTCCAAGTTCTCTTCCACCTGTTCCCTGTTCTCACTACAGATCACAATATCATCTGCAAACATCATAGTCCTGGGGGATTCCTGTCTGGTAGCACTAGATGCTACTACCAGTAGTCTTTTATTTTTATGTTTTGGACACTAAACAAATATAATGGTTGGGTTTCTCTGTACATCTTGAATTGTATTTTGCCAAGATAAAAATTGTAGTGGGTTAATTTGTAAATGTTCTTTGCAGTTTAAGAAATATAATGAGATAGTAAAATGGGGAGAGTGGTAAAGTCCAAATACGAAGGAGTGGACAGAGAAAAGTTTCAAGAGTGATTTGTGACAAAAGTGTGGCAATAAAACGTAGAATGTCGACCTTAATTTACACAAATGTTTATTTTCTCAGTTTCTTATTCAGAATTTATCACACAATTCTTACTAACATGATAAATCAAGTTTGAACAAACAAATGTTTTAAAGTGCTGCAGGTAAATGAATTAACCTACAAACTAATTTAATCAAGTTTTAATGCACATAAAATTAGTCGCTCTTTCCCAACAGAAATGTTTGCAAAATGTAAAATAAGGAAGTTGCAAGTACAGTATTTGCTACATTGTCTAATATTTTGCTTCTGCACAGAACAGAATGTTATTTTTTCACCCTTTGAACTTTGAGTTAACTACAAGCCTCACTGCTTCTGCAACCTGGCAGAGCTGAAGGATTAGTGCTGTGTTTTGGGGGCAATTATGTGGATTTCCTCCTCGAGATCAGCTGAAGAAGGAGGGGAGGAGGGAGACCAAAACGAAGCCTCTGAGTTAAAAATAGTCTGACAAAAATGGCTGCAAAGGAGTGATTTAACATTTAGGTGGGAAAGTGAAAAATAAACCATCAATTAAGATAAAGACGAAACAAGACTAGACTTCTCAGAGCTGTCATTCCAGCTAGAAAAGTTATTCTGGGAGGGATTATTTAATTATGTGTAATTTGGGATGGTTTTTAGGCAAGCTGAAGATCGTCACTCAAATCTGAGATTCTCTTAATATGATTATATTGTTTATTGTTCCTCTAGTTGGACTAATATGAAAATAAAACATTAAAATGAACTAAGTGGTTCATTATGTGTCTCAGAGCTGATTTTCCTCCTGCTCCCAGAGGAGGCTTTGCCCTTCCATCTCCCTGGTTTCTCCCCCTGACATTTTGAATGCAAATGAATCTCCTCATATTTCCTGTTTAGATGGTGACAACAGCAGCTGGAATCCTGTTAATATGAAACAGTTATTGACCATAGTTGCAAATAATAAAATCTGATTTAAATGTTTGTTTGAAGCAGCATCGATTTACATTGTTTTATTATTTTACTAAAATAGTTGTTTATACACAAAATAAATACAAATTGTTGACATTTTAAGTGTAAAAGGTCAAAATAACAAACATGCAGAATAAGATATGGTCTCTACGTGGAGTATATCATAATATTGGTTTGAGTTTTTAATGCCCACTTGTGCTTTTCTTCCCAGCTCTGTCATATTTTATCTGTGGGTTTATTGATCCATCTCTTTGTCTGTTTAGAGATGTGGTGCTGAAGCTGCTCCAGTTTGAGGCGTCAACAAATGTGGCTGACAGCAAAGGCTGTTTCCCGCTACACCTGGCTGCGTGGCGGGGGGACGTGGACATCGTTCGCATCCTCATCAACCACGGCCCGTCGCACTGCCACGTCAACCAACAGGTAATCACAGTAATCCTTAAACCTTCAGCAGAACCTTGATGTCTGGACTTTCCCAAAACCCCAGCTATAATTACGACTCTGTTCAAAACGAGGCTACATTTGTCATTCTTGTGGTGGTCTGAATGGATGAACCCTAAAAAAGAGAAGAGAGAAGCTGGGCTTGTGCCAAATATCGACAGGTGTCTACTCTGCTTAGGAGTCTTTAGGAAGGAAGTAGTCCTCAGCTTGTGGTGCTTTGTGGTTTAAATTAATTCAAATTAATTTAAGCTTTAAACCAGTTTAAAATGTGTGGACTTTGTTTTCTTTTTGCCTGGATTACATGGAGCATTCAATGGACTCAGCAAAGCATACTTCATATTTAACGAAGGGGCTGCTGCATATTAATCCTGTCTTTATGGTACCGAGACAAAATTACTATACAGACTGTTTACATGCTAAATGGCAAAATGTGGTTTTGCTCCTGTTCCAGATCAGAGAGGATGCTATCAGCTCAGCTACAGTTGCTTTGCTGTATTTCTCAGGGCTTGTAAACCGATGCTTCTGCAGGTCGCGTTATCATGGCTTCTGTCCAACCGAGCTGATCCCTTACAGCTCCCAGTGATCCGTCTCTGACAGGCTGGTGAGCGTTTTAGCTCTGGGACCATTCAGCCTGCCGCTCCTGTCATTCCTTATCAGCAAAAAATGACCCTCTCCTCCTCCCTCCCCTCTTTTTTTTTTTTTTTTTGGTCTATCTGCGCTTGCAGCATATTGATGATGTCACGTTTTACTGATGCACTGCAGTTGAAGATGAGCAAACGCCACACAAGGAGCATAGGATCAGAAGTGCGATTTATCCATGTGTGCCTACTCTTGTTGGTGATGGAGCACGCAGGTTACCGGAGTGGTATTTATCCTAACTAATAAGCACATTTTCCTCCATCTTCATTAGCCAAATCGTTTTCCTTCAAGAGCTGCTGGGCTCTAATTGCTTGCTGTGATAAATGACGTACCCTGACCCTGAAATGAAGAGGTTAGTGAGCGAGCGAGCACGGGTAATTTTCCTTTTTTTTACACCGTCAATGATTTGTCCAGCTGAGCGAAATGCTGCGATCCAAACCAAGTGAAAGCTGCTGATGCTGAGGATACGGTGCAGAGATGTTGCTGACCTCTGGGCGCAGTCATGTTGGCTGCGTTTGTGCCTCCTTTTTGTACACAGCAATGAATCGTAAAGTCGAGGCTTTTTCGAAGAAGTACACTTAACACACATGAAGTGATTTCATGTAAGAAAATATTTTTCTTCTTGACGGTTTATAGAAACGCATTCTTTAAGCAGCTTGAGATTTTCAGTGAGCCGTTGACTTGTGAGCATGGGATGTAAATCTTTAAAATCAAGAAAACGCTTGAAAGTGGCTGTTTTGCGCAAAACAAACTTCAACAGGATGAACTTCTTAACTTTTTTAAATCAATTAAATCAAGAGACACTAAAGGTTTTATGTTTTTCACAGTCTCTTATCCAAAAACAGGGTTCAGCAACAACGTTGCTTAAACTATTAATGCATCTTCCTCGTGTCGACTCTATAACCTTGACTCACTGGACATTTATAGAGAGGGTATTAGGGGTGCAACAATAAATCGGCACATATAGGCCCAGATATCCTTATTTTTGGGAGATCGGAGAATGGTCGATACTTGCATGAGAAACCGATTTAACAGATTTTTTTGTAGTTTTAACAACAATTGTCTAAACTTCATTCATGGTCAGTTAAAACAAGTTTGTATTGTTTCTAGGACATTGTTCAAGGGTATGTTTTTCAATAAAATAAAGATTGGAAAATTGAAGGCGCATTATGACATTGTAACACCGGACAGTGTTGCTTATAAAACAAAATCGGTATCATCCAAAATCTGAATCGGCAGGTCAGACTTTTTAGTAGACTGTCATTTCTAACCCGGGCCCGAAGCCCAGCCTGGCTTGACCTGAATTTGGGCTGTGCCGGGCCAAAAGAATGTGTTGGATGGGCGGGCCGAGTCATTGTCGGTCTTTTGATTACGTCAGCTGATGATCCAATTATATGGCAACATGGCTTGCCATACAAACCAATTGTATAGAAACATGGCTTGCCATAAAATCTAATGGTATGGCAACATGGCCAGCCATACAATCAACAGCTGCACGCTGCCATTTGACCGCATGCTGACCGGCCTTGAAAAAAATAAAAAAAATAAAAATAAATTCAGTTACGCTTCAGATAGGACTACCGGTACTGCCAGGAAGTGATCCATCACCCAAATTGACGTTCAGCTGCTGCACTCAGTGGACGCGCACGTCCGGCGACTCAAACAGGTGACATCCCAAAGCAGAAATGTCAGAGCAGGGTCTGTGTCTGAATAATGCAGATTGCAGACAGAAGCAGGGATTTAATGTGCTTCGACGGCCATGAAAGGACAAACACCCCCTCAGCTCCGATCTTCTGCCCCTTTTATTCAGCTGTGTGCGCCCGCCGACCATTAATAAAACATATAAGCAGTCAAAGCTTAATTAAAAATGTTTGGGGGGTGGGTTTTCGGGTTCGGACCTGTAATTACCGTTAATTTGTCGGGTCTGGTGGGGTTCGGAAATGATGGCTATGGGCTGGGGCCAGGTCGGATTTTTGGGCCCCAAATGCAACTCGACTTTTTAGAGATCGGTGATGCAATCAGTGCACCCCTAGAGGAAATGTTATCTGGGTTGGCCGCACATTCTCGATAACTCTCATAATTTTGATTATTTATGATGAATCATTATCATGCGTTTCACTTTGAGCTTTGTTTATATATAAAAAAAAACACCAAAAAACATATTAGTGTATATCTTTAACATTCTTAAAAATGTATCAATTTTCTTTTAGTGTCTAGTTTTTCCACATTCTGAGTTTGCCGCAGTGATAAACTGGAACTCATGTCTCTTTCTTCACAGCATATTGATATACTCGTCCTCCTTTTTTTTTTTGCAATAGTCTGTTTGTTTTCAGGTTGCGGCTATAAACCAGCGAATAAGATTGATGAAATGTGTGTTTCTATTATATTCAGGTTCTATATTTTCCTGTCATGTCTGCAGTCCTATGCTGGACACACGTGCGTTCCTCAGGGTGATGTATTCAGTGTCGCGCTCAGGCTCGTCATTGAGATGTAACAGGAGCAAACCTTGACAGTGCATTAATCTGCTCTCTACTTCTGACAAAGGAGACAATAAAAACATTTGTCCTTACTTTTCGACACGATGTGAAAAAACAAAGTGATGACTGTGAAGGACACAGAAGTCGGGGGGAAATAAGTTGAAAAATGTTGATGGTTAAAGGAAATGTTGGAGGTTTTTAGAAACAAAGGCAGCAGAGGTGTGTGTTGAAGTCATCTCTGCAGACAACAGATCATTTTTAACGTCTAATGAACGTTATTAGTTGGTGGTTAACCAGTTCTAGCTCACTGCTTATTTCTTGTTTCCAGTAGTTTTTGTTTGTTCAAAGAGCAGGAGTGTAGGACAGGTAGAAGCTATCAAACTAAATAAGATGATTTTATTTTGTGCACTGGTATTTGTGTGCAAGAGAGCCAGTTGGACAGTGATTGATGGTGAAAGATTGCTTGTTTACTTCAAGCTTGCTCCTGGGCTGTGAGGCCAACGCTTGTTTTTAGGATTGACGAGTTACGTGTTGTGGTCTCACTTTCTGCTGCTCCTCTTGCTTATTTAAGCCTGTACTTTGAGATATGTTCCCTTTTTTAAATAGATTTTATTTTATTTTTTTACTGGAAAGTCCTGTGTTTTAAGTAAACAGTATTAATTATCTTAAAGTGTATAATCTTGAATAATTATTTCATTTAGACTTTGTCCCGCCATCAGTTTTCCACACAAATGTGTAGTGTTAGAAGTTGTTTTTGGAAAGTTATTGCTCCCAACACTGATCCTGCTAATTTATTTAACCATATTTATATAATGCTAGTCAATACCTGACGCTTAACTTGCACTTCTGCTTTGCTTTTGTCTTTAATTACATTATTACAGTATGGTAGAATGAGAACAAGCAGCACCTCCAAACCAACTTATTTGCTGCTTCTTATAAGACAGTGTCCTCAAAATCTAGCATTTTAATCTGTCAATTGCATTTAATTTCCCTCTACCTGCACATTTCAAAGTCATCCTTTTTTATAGTCATCTTATACTGTTAAAAACAATAATCATAAACGAGCAGTTTTTATGGTTGACTGATGACCTATTAAACTCTGGATAACTGCCATTTTCTTTTTGTTACTGACTGCAAAGCACATATGAAATTAATTCCACTGCAGTAAATATTTCTTAATAGTGCTAAGAATATTTTTCTTTTCACCTGGTGAAGGGATGTGATTGTTGCAGCCTGTTTGTTAGCAAGACAACAATAACGTCAACTAGAGAAATGTGTGAAGGCTGGGTGACTGCTGAAATTGAGCTGGTAAAGTAAAACAAAGATAACAGAAGCTAAAAGTGCAGACTAGAACCTAAAGCTGAATGATATATAAATGCTCAAAAGAGCTAAATTGTTGCTAAAATGTAAAACATATCTAAATGGTAGCTAAAAGCTAGTAGTAGCTAAACAGTAGCTAAAATAAAATGGTAGCAAAAAGCTAAAAGTAGTGAAAAGCTAGCATAAACCTAAAAGTAGCAAAAGGCTAAGGATAGCTAAAAGCTGGAAATAGTGTGAGAAGATAGCTGAGACAAATGTTAAATGAATATTTTGAAGGAATTGAATATCTGTATTTTTATGGGAAATGTTATTTAATGTTAAATATTTTGAAAAGTATGTTAAAAAAATCATAACAGCACTATATTTTTAAATTTGTTGAACGTGTTGCCATATGATCTGTTATAATTGCATATATGCAATAAGAGTTTTCAAAAAACGAGAAAAACTGAACAAACTACTGTGAATGCTGACTCAGCGTTCACACAATGATGAGTTTGATTAAACTTGGTAGAGAGTTGGAATGTGGGTTGACAGAATTATCTTACT